TGATGGCAATACTGCAGAGAGTTGACATTTTTTAGGGACTCCGTCTGAGATGACAGCAACCCCTCAAATTCAGCAGTGCTTCTCTAACAGATAACATCTCACTTGAAATTAACTGCTTATAATGTAACAGCTTCAGACGCTTAATGATGGCATAAATGTAAGGATGTTATATCTAAGCTCTTTAAATAAATCCTGTCTTGAAATAAAGGAAATACTATATTATAGAGCTCTATGACTTTGTTATCTTTGCTATCTATTTATCTGACTCTAAGACCAAAGAAAGCAAATACTGAGATTGATCGTTACTACTGAGTGGTACACGTATTTGTGGATGAAGACAATACTGAAATGCACTGTTTAAGGTATTAAAATGGACAGTAAACAGCTGCTTGATGCACATGCATGAACACAACAGGGAGCTGGGTGCAGGGAGCAGACACTGAGCTTCCTGGATCCGAGACACAGCATACCAGTCCAGCCAAGCAGTCCACATGTTTCATATTTATGTCCCAGCAAAATAAGCAGTGAGAGTCTTAAATGAACTTTGGGGACACTTGCAAACAGCTGTCATGATTACTAATGTGGGACACCAGGATTCTACAGTGTTTATTTGGCATCTGCGCACAACCAGTTCTTTTCCACTAAAGCCTGTTGTAATTGATGGTCCCACATCCAGGCTTAGGAATCATCTCATATCGTGTTTGGGAGGGAGGTAAGTGGAGTCAGGACCCATGTTAAGGCTGGGTGGGTAATAATCTGGTTCTAGTACAGGAGAAAGGAAAGTAGGTCAGGTGGGAAGAAGAATGACTGGATTTAAATTTTGTTTCTTGAGTAAGCTAAATATATAACATCATGTCAAGTTTCTTTGTTGTTTATATTCCATGTACTGTCACCAAATAACTACTGAATTGTGGGGACAAAAAAGCCTGGGATCTAGAATTGACCCTGCCCCCAACCAGCCAGAGTCCAGCTTCCTCTGGGTGTCCAAGGAGGGGGCTGGACCGTCAGGTGTCCCTGTACTGCAGTAGTTTGGGCACTTGGGTGGCCTAGTTTTTTTGCTGTGGGAGACTGGTCTGGTTGCAGGACATTAAGCATCTGCAAGGGTCTCCCCAGGTACCCACAGTGGCCCCAGGACTGTAACATCCAAGCGTTCCTTTCCACCCATATTTGCAAATGACCCTCAAAGGGTTAGTATTAATCCTGGGTGAGAATTATGAAAAATTATATGGTACCTCCATCCCTTCTGGCAAGTGATGG